TGCGCTTGAGGCGGGGGGCCGCCCTCGGGGCCGCCGCCGCCGCCCAGGCTGTCGCTGCTGGTGGAGGAGGACGAGTCCTCGGCCGCGTAAAGGAGGCGGCTGGAACCGAGCGCGATGCGGGGCTGAGGACTGCCCTCCTCGGCTGCCCCCGCCGGCCTGCTGCCGCCCCGCCGGTGCACGTGCTTGAAGGAGCGTGGCAGCGAGAAGTAGGAGTAGATGGGTTTGTGGTGCGCTACGGTGGCCGCCTCCTCGACCCCCGGCTGCCCCGCAGCCCCGAAGTAGCAGTCGGGCGGAGTGCTGGTGGTGGAGCCGCTGGCTGGGGACATGTTGATATAGTCGCTGCCGCCGCAAGGGAGCTTCCCTTCGTTGCTCTCCACTGAGAGTTTTGGGTGGTGGCCGGCACCATTTGTCCAGATCTTGCCATAGCCCGCAGAGCTGCTGTCGGGGGAGTAGCTGCCACTGGGGGACATCATCATGTAGCCATTAGAGTCCACTGTGGCTGGAGGGTGGCGGCCACCCCTGCCAGGGTTGATGATCTGCTGTGGGGCCGACACACTCTTAGGACTCATGGGCATATAGTCACCACCCTTGGGAGGCCCCCCACCACTGGGCACAGGGGCTACACCAGGCGACATGGGCATGTAGCCATCATCCGTGTGCGGGGTGGAGTTGGTCCGATGACGGCCATTGTCCATGTGGTGGATCTCCAGGCACTCCTCTGGGTAGGAGTGAGTGGGCACAAAGGCTGAGTGGCGGTAGGAGGGCAGCCTGCTGCTGCCACAGGGGTAAGAAGGCAGCATCTCCGTGTACTCCTCAATGGAGGCCACTGAAGACTGGGAGGGAGTCTTCTGATGGGAGATAGTGGGTGAAGTGCCTGCAGAGTGAGTTCGCTTTCTGAATGCCTTCTCCAAGTCGGCAACCTCCTCACTACCACCTCGAGGACAGCAGGGTGTACTAGGATAGCGGGGCTGCTGCTGAGGGTGGCAGGTGCGTGGGATGAAATGGCCATTGGGCGCTGCCAGGCTGCAGCATGAAGACGTGGCCTTCCCTCCCATGCAGATGTAGTTGAGGTCTTCATCACCCCGGGCGGGAGGGGTGTGTCCCAATGAATCAGGGGTTACACTGCGAAAAGAGCTGCGAAAGTCACACGGGCTTGAACCATACTCATCAGAAGAAATAAATCCACCATCACTAGGGGAGCCAGAAACTGAAGCACTAGACCTTCGTGGAAACAGGCAGTCTGAGGTGGAGCCATGGCCACTAGTGCTGCTGGATGACAAGCTGACCGGACTGGTGGCTGAAGGAGAGCAGCGCGAGGAAGGCATTGGGATGGACCGGCTGTGGTTGAGTGGAGGATGGAGCCTGGAGTTGCCACGGTGTCTGTGTGAATGAGTCCGGTTAGCACTGGGACTAACGGGGCTACCATCCACAGAGGCAGGTCTTGACATTGTGCCTTCCCCATCACTCGATGCTCGAACCCGGAAAGAGCTGGGTTTGCCACCTGTACCTCCACCGCCGGCAGGAGAAGTGGCCGTGACACTCTCAGTCCTGGACCGCCGACTGAGCCCCACTTGGCTCGGTGGAGGGTTGTTGACATGGTGCCTGCGAAGGGGCACAGAGATCGGGTTGGAACAGTTTGAGGAAGACTGGCTCTTGCTGCGGGGCCGGAATTCTTCACTCATAGCTCGCATGGCCTCCAGGATCGTTTCATGCATGTTCTGTGCCACCACTGAGTCATCCACTTGCATCCAGAACTCACCAGGTCCAGTGACAGCTGAGCGTCCCACCTCAATGAAGAAGAAGTTCTCAGAGTGACCACAGCGGCGGATATTGAGCAGCTGCAGCACCACAGCAGCCGCATCTGAATTCAGCTTTACAAAGCTGATGGTCTTGTTAGTCAGGCACAGGCGGTAGATGCCAATCAGGTTCTTTGTCTGCCCTAGGCCCTTCGGCTTCAGAATTACTTGCCAAACTTCCTTAAAAGCTGGACCAGGGGCTACCTCACCATAGCTGTCCTCACCTGCTTCCCCCAGTCCTGTGCTGCTGCCTCCGAAAGTGACATCGCTGTGGTGGTGATGGTGATGGTGATGGAGGTGGTGGTGGCCCTTGGCCCTGTTGTGCAACTGCAGCAGTGCTTGGTACCAACTCTCCTGCTCAGGTTCACTGTCAGCTGCAATGGCAAAGTGCTCGTCCTTGGTGTAGAGGGCCACCAGGTGCTTGTTCTTGGAGTCAGCCCGTTTGTTGATGTTGAAGCAGCTTTCTAGTGGGATGGAGCGCTTGGGCGCCCCTGACTTGTGTCTCCATTTCTTCTCATTCTCGTAATACTCCAGCCGGGCGGGTCCAGACTCACTGGCTGCCCTCAGCACAAAAAATCGTTTATGCATGCTCTTGGGTTTGCGCAAGTAACCCACCTTTCTGACATCTGAGAAGAAGCCCTCGTTATTATCCGTGGGGCTGGCCATGATGAGAGGTGGTGCAGCTCTTACTGCAGCTCACAGTCTGCAAGACCCCAAAACAGCCAAGCCAGACAGGAAAGGCAACTGCCTAAAATAAAATTCATGCAATGACAATTAAAAAACAGAGAAAAATAAAAAAATAAAAAAGAAAAAAAAAAAGAAAAAAGAAAAAAAGCAAAACAGCTCAGGATCCTCTTTTGAGAACGGGACGGGGGAGGGACAGAAGGAGGGTGAGAGCAGCTGTTCAGTGGCAGAGGCAGCTTCCAGCACCAAATCAGAGTTTGTGTTGCTGTTTATGCCCAAATCGCGCTTAGACGGGTAAGCTCGTCCTTAAAAAGTCCAGTCCCGATCAATCCAGACGAAAGTCTCGTCCCAAAACGAGCCGCCGGGAAAGAAAAACGCATCTTCCCTTGCAGGGGTCGGGCTCCGGCGAGGCTGGGAGCGGGGCGGGGGTCCCTTTCCTCCGCTCCCTGCACCCCTTCCCCGGCTCAAGTTTGCCTCCGCGAGCAGCGATCTCTGTTGCAGATTAAATATCCTCTCGGGGGCGGAGATTGTTTTGCAAAGTCCGGGGTTTGCACCCAAAAATACACGCTGCTTTCCCCTCTCTCGCCCTCCCCCCAAAAAAGAGAAAATTAAAAAAAAAATGCCGCCCACAATACAACCCCCCCTTCCCCAAATATCAGCGCCGAGGCTGCTGCTCCCGCTCGTGCGTGCGGAGGAGGCTGGCGACCCCATTCAGTCCCATCTCGTTAGGCAGAGAAAGTGCCATTTCCACACGCGGCGCAGCCCGGCAGCGGCAGGAGGGGAGGCAAGCCCGAGTGCCGAAGGAACATCCTCTCTTCCTCCTCCTCTTCATTCCAGGCGGCAGCGCCTCAGCGGCCGGCGGCGCGGCCCCCTCCCGTGCCCCAGCCCGCCGGGGGAGCGGGCAGCGCCGCCGCGGCTCCTTCTCCGCCGGNTGCAGCGGGTCCCTCGCCTCCCTGCGAGGCTCTGTGCTGAGTTAAACCGAGCGTGCAGCGGGAGCGGCCGTGCCGGGGCTGGACGTGCCGCGCCCGCAGCTCTGCCCTGGCCCCGGGAACAAGTGCGGGAGCGCTGCGGCCGCATCCGCTGCTCAATGCTGCCCTCTGCGGGACAGCGCCCGCCCGGCCCGGGGGCTTGCGGGCTGTGGCTTCGGGGTGCGGCTTTGGGGGTGCTTTTGGGGTTCCCTGGTGCCAGTTACGATGGGTGACCCTGGACAGCCTGGGAGGGCAGAGGCGCTCTAATCGCCCTGAGCTGGCACTGCCCTACCCGAGCAGACTGATTGCAGGTAGGCAGAGGTAAAAACACCACGGCAGTTCTCTCATCTACTCTTCAGTAGATGTATTTAAATACAAAATTAAACTCCTGTTTGTGTTTGTGTAGGTCTAAACACGGGTTAAACAAATTGGATGCTTTTTTAATGCATCTGTGCTGCTGCACAGATCACGGCCGTACAATTATTTGAGAGGAGCAGTTACTTGGTCAAAAGATGAAAAATTCCCCTGAAACAGTTGAAACACTTGGAGAACCCAGAGAGGACAACAGGCAGCAGCACAAACCACCCTTGCAGATTATCCCGTAGAAAACGCTGTAAAGTACAGAATTAAGGGTGTTTGCCAAACACACGATGATGATTTCTAATGCAAGAGCAGAGTCTAGCTGGTAAGAGTGAGAAAAAAAGACAATCCACGCTGTAACAATAACCCATATCATCACCTCGTTCTTTCCTCCATACCGTAGCTCATCATGACAAACCCAGATATTTGTACTGAAAATAAATCTGTTACACATACCTGGAGATAAAGATTAGTACAAACCAAGTGTATTTCTATCCTCCAACAAGTAGGGCAGGAAATTACTCCCCCAGCCTACACCATGGAGCTGCAGCATAGAATTGCAGTCCCAAGGCATATTGAGATCAGCTATTGTGGCTGTCATTAATGAGAAGGTATGTTTTGTGAGAAGAGGGCACCATCCCTATACATCCATGGCTAAAAAGTCCTGTAGCAGGAGGATAGCTCCTAAACCTCCTCTCCCTGCCCCTTCACGAGCATGGGAATGCTTGTTTGTGCACAGAATATATATGCTACCTTTTTAATTAAACAATTTGCACATAGTAGGTTAGGTTATTAATATTAAAGAATAACTTTTATTTGCTCTGCCCCATTCTTTCTCCTGGCAGGTGTTCCAATGATGTGCACATACAAGTGGAATGATTTCTTGAATGAGAAAAAAACACCATCTGACTTGTATTTTGTTGCATCAGGGAACATGGATTTGAGAGTAAAAGCAGGAGACAGCCCTATAATCAGAGAATTTCTTGAGTTGGAAGATACTCCTCCAGATGATCAAGGCCAAGTCCCTGCTCCTCACAGGACTGCACAAAACTAAACCGTATGATGAAGGGCATTGTCCAAACTCTCCCTTGAACTCTGACAGACTTGGTGTCCTGACCATTTCCCTGGGGAGCATGTTCCAGTGCCCAACCACCCTCTCAGTGAAGAACCTTTTCCTAATGTCCAATCAACTTCCCTTAAGTTTCATTCAGTTCATACCATGTCCTAGCCACAGCTTATGGGCAGGCAGTATATTTACATATGCTCATTCATCCTGGGAACATTCTCTTCAATAATAGCTGATTTTGCAGATAAAATAAAATCTGGTTGTTCTTATCTGGTTATCAAGGGGATTCAGTAAATGTCCCAGAAGTGTTTTCAAACTTTATATATAGATTCATGTCCTTTGCCCAGCAGAAATAGCAGGCAATAACATACTTCCAGCATATTCTGAAAACTATTTTTTAAAGTTAGTTTGCATCACGCCAGACCACATCTTGGAATTGTTTTCTTGCTCTTTGAGTTCCAAAACTCTGAAGTACTGTGCTTCTCTGTGAGGTACGTAAGTGTGCACACCAGCAGACCAAAGGAAAGAATATACCCTTACTGTTTCTATTTAACACCCTGCCTTGACCATGAGTGACTGAGAATTCAGACTTTGTAACTAATTGCAAAGGGGTTCAAACCAAGACATTCCCTGTGTAAACACCTATAGCTATCACACTACACTGCTGTCTCTCTATACAATAAATTTAGATTCAATAAACCAAAACATAACTGAGCTTGCTTTTCTAGCACCCATGTCCAAATCCTAAATTTGCTTTCTGCATAACCCTTTGACCATCCCCCTATTCTGATCACACAGCTCAGAATATGTGTATATATATATATATATATATATATACATACATATATTTATACATATATATATATATCCATATCTATTCTGTTGGAGATAACATGATTATTTGATATAAAGGAAAAGTGTATAATAGAACAGATAAGGATCAAAGTTCCTAATTTTTATCTACCCTAGTAAGTGGCTGAAAGATTAATTTAGCACAGGGTAATCTCATGAGGCACAAAGTGCTTGAAACAATTAGCTCTCACAGTGTCTCTCCTGAACCTAGCAGAGCACATCAGTAAGGACTGGGAGATAATCAAAACTTGTGCTTTGGTAGTGCTCTGTTGGTGAAATGGCATCCCAGGAAGGCAACTGTAAGGATCCAAAAGTAACTGAAGAGGTAGGCTGCTCTAGATTACAATGAGAACTGGTTTCTCTTGAAGCCACATTTACCTGTTCATATATAGATTCTCAGCTGCAAAAATGAGTAAAAGTAGAAATTAAGACTCAACATGCATCCTTAACACAGTAAGGAAAAAAACACTGTTCATTCATCTTTTCGGCTGATTGTCATAGGCTCTTGATTTTTTTTTTTTTTTTTGCCTCTGCCATCAACTGTTTTTATGGCTCTTTTTCCCAACCTTTCTCTCCTCAGACACATCTCTATGCACTTTGCTCACTTTCCTATGTATCTGACTGTTCTGTTAAAAGGGTGTTAGGGTGTTAGACTTGTTATTACAGTCTTCTAGAACTTTAGGGATCCACTAAAAATAATCTCTCACAAGGATGCAAACCAAAATAAAAAATTTCCCAAAGGTGAAGTTACATCACTGTAAGTCTCTAAGGAAAGCAGAATAGCCCTTGTTCACCACCTTCCTCCATTCACCTTGCAGACACAACTGACCTACAAATTGCTCCTTCTAACCCCAGCTCCCAGTTGTTCCTAAAATGTTTGATCTCATTTTCCACACCCAACTCTTCAGTTAAAACAAAATATTAGTACCTCCCTATATAGCTTCATGTGTCTTTGTTTAAAGAAGCCAGAAAAGGTAAAACATCATTCCCACTGGGGAATATAGATATCTCAACTGAAGTATCACTAAACTAACAGGAATCTCGGTAAGACCTTTGGATAATTCCCAGACTACACTGATCAACCTTCAGCTCTGCATCTATTATCTTTATATTTCCATGCTGTAATAAGTTCAAAAACTGTAGTGATGCTTCACAGATATTTTTTTTTTTGTGCTTTAATTCTGTCTCCTTCACCACAGACAAAATTGCCTGGAGCATGAATTTCAAAGGACAAGTTACAGAATCTTTTATCTAATTTATAATAAGTTTTGTCTGTGCATAGCTTAAAGCAATGGTCTCAAGCAGCTTTTGACTGAGCAAAGGAGTCTCATAAGTCCACAGGGGTTTCGTTTGGGTTTTTTACGACTGTGGCAAAGTCCACAGAGGTATAAAAATTAAAGCCAAAGAGAAGGTTTTACCCATGGTTACTTGGTGACAGCAGCAGTCTTGGTCTTGCTCAGTCAGCTTTATTTCATCTTTGAGGTGTCAGTATTTAACCCTGAATGATAGATAAAGCAGAAGGTAATGTGCCTGCTGCTGCCCACAGTGCCATTTAACAGCTACAGAGCAAAAGCAGGAAATATGTTAATCCCTACAGGATCCCACAGGGTAGATCCTTCTGAGGCAAAAATAAGCTGCCTTTTCCCTTGCTTTGTTGGAGAGGAGAGAAGGGAGCTGGGCTGTGCAGAGCTCCAGCTCCAGCCCGTGCCATCGAGGTGGTTTAGCCAGGCTCTGGGCTCCTGTGGTGGGAACACACAGAAAGCTCATGGCCTGGAGTCAGAGCCCTGCCCTGGCCACCAGGACACTGCTGTCACCAGCTGCCTTTGCTGCTGGCCTTGCTCTCAGTCTGGCCTCAGGGCTGGTTACTTCTAAGCAGGATGTGCTGCAGGTGTTTGAACATGACTGATTCCTCAGTTGTGCTTGTCAGGAATGAGAGACTGAAAAATGGGATAACAGAGCAAAAGAGTAAGTAATGGTTTCTAAAGAAAAAGGAGATTTACTCTGGTTTTCTTCAAAGAGTTTAGCGGTGGAGCTTATCTAAAGACCCGACTTATGTCCAGTGATAGTGGGCAAAATTTATTGATTTTTATCAACCTGAGAAGACATGGACTCATTTCACAGGCTCCAGCTGTGATTCAGAATTCCTTGAGCTTTCCCTTGTGTGATATGATCAAGCTTAATCATGGCCTGCTGATCGTAAATGGAACATACTTCCTTGGTCTCTGCTCTTTAAAAGAATTACTGAAGGTTCAAAAAGTTGCAGAAAAGCCTCCTTGCACTATGTGATGCTGGGCAATAAAATAGTGAGCTTAAATGCACGCAGGAAAAAGCAATTCTGACTTCACATATTTAGTGACATGTTCCAAGTTAGTCACAGCTACTTTTAAAGACGGTCTTGGAATTGTAAGAGTTAGCTCCTTAAAAACATCAGCTTAACACTTTTGCAGTCAAAAAAGCAAATAGAAGATTAGAAATTTTCATGTAAAGGAGAGGAAACAAAATAGAGAACTTTTTTTTTTTACATGCACAACCTATTATGCATCTTGTCCTTGTCTACTGTCGAAAATTCTACTTTCTGGACTTGAAAACAATAATAAATAATTGGAAAAAGATAACAGTAAATGATTAAAGAGAGTGCAAACTGAGTTAGCAG